GAGAATAGTGAACGTTAGTGCACTCGATTGCTTTGCAATCGAAGCTGCTGCAGCAAACGTTTTAGTGCACTCCATTGCTTTGCAATTAAGGCTGATGCAGCGCACTGCGGCAGCATCTCAGCGGGATTGATTAGTTAACTTACTAAAGGAGGATGCTTGGAGCAGAAGCGAAGTCATTGTGATGAAATGCTGTCAACATTTCGAGAACGGCTTTAACGTGCCCTATGTACACAAATTGCAGCGATTCGTCGCAGCGCTACACTTGCATCTAGCATTTTGACGGTTGTCGAAATTTAACCACGGCACTTCATTTTATTAGTTTTTACGCATTCTTCAACTCACATCACAAATCACTCACAAATTGCGAATTAACACCATTTAAACTGATATTTCACTTATAATTAAAATTCTCTTTGTCGCTGATTTGTAAACAAAGGTTTATTTACAAGTTACCACAACTGTCAAAATCGGCGAAACCAAAGTAGCGGTACCACTGACGGCGCCACCTTTGTTCGCTGCATCGTGGTTTAGGTCGGCGAAGTATCTCAGTACTATATTGATACTTTCGTTTCGATATCTGTCCCTTATTGTCAATCGATTAGTTGAATAGTAAAATTTGTTTATAGGGCATTCGCACGAGGCGATTTTACAGGCAACAAAAGTTGAATACGTAGTTGAATGAGAAGTTGAAAGTGAAAAAGTTGCCATCCCTATTCAGACGAGGCGATTTTGGATTCAACACGAATCGTTATTTACATTATTAAAAATCAATTTAAATCGCAAAATTTTATCAATTGGCGTAAATTTGGGAAGCCAAGCGTTGGTAGAAGTGCTTTTAGCGAAGCTGAAAGATAAAATAAGAGTAAAAAAGTAAAAAAGAAAAAAAAGTATGTATACAGAACAGTGTTGGCATTTTTGGTACAATTGTACTTATTTGATACAATTTCATTTACAATATACTTTCCTACCACGCAGTACTTTTTAGTAAAATTTTGTAATGAATACTAAAAATATATAAATAAATATAAAGCTCTGAAAATTCACAGTTCGCCTGTTCGTATTTACCTTTGTAAGTTTTGAAAAATGGCTTGAACGAACCAGTATACTATGTTATAACATAGCCTAGCCAAATTTTTAAAGAAACTTTTCGATATTAAGTTTTATTAAAACAAAATGTCAAAGTCAGCTTCATATAGAAACAAAGTCTTCGTTAGTTATAAGAAGAGATTTTCTTAAATATAATACCTTTACGGCACTCACATATTGACAAGGTTTTACTATTTATTTTATTATTCTTTAATTTTAATTATCTGTTTATAAACTATAATGTATTCTTTAAGAAAAACTGTATAAACCCAAGATTAAATCTTTGCGAAACATCCAAAAACCAACATACTGTCGTAAAAATTTCGAGCTTTATTAATATTCTTTAGTTTATAGCCCATTCAATTTTAGTATAATAAAGTGCAAGTTTAAAGTAGCTGGGACTTACCGTTGAACTTGGCAATTTTGTTTTGTCGACGATGTCAGCCATTTTCTTCCATACGAAAGGTGTTCGACGATTTTTTTATATGGAGTAACTTAGCAACACCTTCATCAAAGAAATCTTAAAAAGTTAGTAATATTAAAATTTAATAGGCTAAAAAGCCACACACTCAAAATAAATCTAGGAAATCGAATTAAATAGATCGAAATTTTTACGAAAGTGTGTTGGTTTTTTTAATGTTGCACAAAGTTTGAACCTTGGATTTGTACGGCTTTTCTTAAAATATAAAGCGTATTTGTACAAAAAATAATTAAACTTGAATAATATTAATATAAATGGTCAAATCTTCTCGTAAAGTTTTGATAAGCACTTGGAGGCGTAACATTGACTTCCTTGGCCAATTGGTGTTGGTAACCTCCTCGCCCAATAATTTCAGTGCGGCTGTCAGCTTAATAATTGGCGGAACCTCTGTCGATTTTCGAGGAATGCTTAACTCCGGCGTACAGGCATTTAGTACGTACTGAAACGCCTGCTTTTTTAGACGGAAGTTTTGCGCGAAACTGTAAAGGGATAACTATAATATATAAAATGTAAATAGTCACAAATAAAGCAATCCTTTTACTATTTACCAGTGAGTGTGAATATATTGGTCTTATCTTTGCTGGTGTTGCCAGACATTTCTTCCTTGCGTGCATTTTTTATATGTCGCCTTTCGATTTTGTTTCTGAAAAATTGTAATTATTTAACTTAATTACCTATTCGTAATATTTGTTATTTCTTTTCCTTGATTTGTTTCTTTTCATCAGAAATTGCTTTCAAATTAAATGCAAATACAAAAAACGTGCCCAATAAATAAAAAAAATGTGATTAGTATTGCCATAATGCAACCCTGCTGTGAGGTTGCAAAATGTAGACGCGTAAAAAACATACCTTTGAGTGTGACAAAATGTACGTCTACATTTTGAGACACTAGCTTCGTTCCCCACGCTTTCCGGGCTGCTCCGGTAATTAGAGAGTAAAAATAAGTTACTCTCTCACAAGTGTAAAGAATGTGCCAACACGTGCCAAAAGTGCCCAGAGCTGGGAAACGGAAAAAACCACATTTTGTGCCCGGAATCAAGATATCAGCTCTAAACAATGATTTTAGTGTATTTATCTTATATGGCTAATAAAATTACCAAATGACTAAATTTTCTGAAAATTCTGTGATATTTTGCACTTTTGTTTTTATAAAGTTTGCTTTCGGATTTAAACAACAACAGCAGTTATTTCAAATTGCCCTTTTGCACATTTGTGCCCGGACAAAAAGTCCGGGCTGTTTCGTGCACAAAGAAGAAGATATTTAGATCCAAAAGTGGAACGTATTCGCTCTCTATTACCCATTTTTCTAGCGTGAAGAACGCTTTCTGGCTGCTTTGGGCACCCGTGGGTACCCGCGGGCTCGTGTGGAACAAACCTACTATTTGGAACGAACTTTGAACACCCCAATTCTATTCAATTGGGAGTAAGATTTTCAACATCCATTTTTTCGATATCGATATTGTTCAACCCGATATATCGCCATAACGATTTTACCTGCAATGAATTAAATTGATTTATGATATCGATACTTTCTGAAATATCGAACATTCCTAGTTAGTAGTCATTGGGCGCGTTCATAAGTCGTATCTGTTGGGTAACCGTTGGCTGTTTGTCTTAGAAACGCACAGTTGAGTAGTTAAGCTCAGCCCAACAGTTGACAACTTTCCCCATTTTTTCCAGCGGAAAATTTTTACGCTACCTGAACTCACATGTTGGGCTTAGCTTAAACAGCTGATCGAAAAGACTTACGCCGCTTTGTTAGGTGGCAGTTTGCAGACAAATTTTTTATATTTTATATTACTGACGTGATAAAGTAACTAAAATATTTTATAATAATACTACGTTTCTAAATATATGTTTTTAAGATGTTTGCTATATAATTTTACACTGTTTAATTCATTGTAACATTGAACGATTTTTTCAACACGGCGGCCGCTCAGCGTTGAATTCTTAATAGTATCGGCGCTTATCAGCTGTTCATTTGGCAGCATAATCATCAAGTCGTTTCTAAAAGTGTGTTTGCATTGTTCAACTTTGCGTTCAACATTTGCGTTCAACTCAGCGCAGGGTTGCACGAAAAAAAAGTTGAATGGCTAAAAATATCAAAATATGAAAAAATATCAAAATATTCGCCATAAAAAGGTGTTTGCATTGTTCAACTTTGCTTGCATTCAACTTTTTGTTGAATGGCCTTTCAACTAATCGCTTTCAACAAAGTTGGTCGCCAGCCAACATTTAGCCATTCAACTTTTTTTTCGTGCAACCCTGCGTTGAGTTGAACGCAATTGTTGAACGCAAAGTTGAATAATGCAAACACTGCTTTAGAGGTAATTGTTGGGTTCAACAGTTGCCAGCAGTTTCGTAGCAGATGAGCTAAACAGCGACTTCTTATGAACACGACCAATTTCATTTGTCTACATTTATCAGCTGTTCATTTGGCAGCTTATTCATCAAGCTGTTTCTAAGACGTAATTGTTGGGTTCAACTGTTGCCAGCAGTTTCGTAGCAGATGAGCTAAACCGCTACGTCTTATGAACGCGACCAATTAATCGAATAACTGCTATTCGACAAAACGTACTAACGTAAGGTCTACACTGGACAATATTGTCATGACAATAGAAATCCCTGCACACTTTTCCACTAACTTGGGCTTTACATCGGACAATTTTGCGAAGACAATAGCACTACATTCATGTTTTTTTTACTAATCATTCACACGCCAATCATTGTCCTCGTCACTGTCTTTGATTTTTCGAAGACAGTAAATTTGGCAAATGATTTGAAATATGCGGCCAATTGACTAACGTTTCACTGCAATTTGGGGAAAAAGCAAAATATAATTAGAAAAGAAGGTGCAATTTGGAAAAAAATCCTTTTACTTGGAAATTTTGGTAAATGGTATTGAAATATTGCTTGGTAATGCATATAACATGTATAAATTTATAATTGGACAAGGTAAATTGAATGGATAAGCACAAGCAAGAATAAACGCTGAAAATAATTTCCCTGCTCCGGGAGCGTGAGTTGCGGTGGACTACCAACCGTTTCTCTTATCGCCGTAACGGCCTGAAAAAGAAGGTATATAGCTATTTATTGTTGATATAGAAGTGTTAGTGGACTTTTGGTCAAAAAGTGTTTACAGTATTTTCCAAGCGTGTAACATGGGATATACTTCGTAACCTTGGAGGCGCCTCTTGATCGCGACTGCAGGTCGTTAATATTAATATTTCCTGTGCTCACCTTGCTGATGCAGGCATTTAACAGCGCCTCTTCATGTGTATGACGGGCCGCCGCACAATATAAAAAAAACAACAGGATCCTTCATGTGGGATAGTAGGAGCAGGAGCTGTGCACGTTCGTATTTACGGCTTTACTTTTTAGCATATCCTCAATAGCCTTCAGGTCCATCAGCGTAGACAAAGAGCCACTGTGGACCAATTCAGCATTGTAAAATAAATAATGCAAAATTTTCTTCATCTTATTTACTAATTAGGCTCTAGAAGAAATCGGAAGAGAATGCAACATGACAGAGGAATGCGTTAAAAAAAGACCTAGTCGTTGAGGAGCACGTACATAGTTGAAAAGAAGAAGGTGTAGCAGAGCAAAAAGTCTGGTTGTGATGGATGGATGGTGAGGAGATGATTTTCCTGGATGCCTCTATTTTGACAGGGGAGGCAAGGGATAACGTTTCGAACGTAAGTATTTTTGAAACGTTTCTTTTGAAACGTGGCCACAATATTAGCTCTGTCTTGTTAATTTTTATACAGATGTGGTTGTAGGTGTGGTCAAGGGAACTCGAGTGAAACCTCCGTGGTTCTCTGGCAATTGTCGGGACAGGTTACGGCCTGTACCAATGTGAACTTCACAATCCAGACGAAGAAGCGTGGAAAAAGTGCAGAATACGGCCCGTTTTTCGAGAAACCCATCAACGTGAACAGATTGTATACTGATTTAATACCGAAAATTTTAATGGGGCTAAGCTTCACTGTTCTCTTGGGGTGTATGCATCGGTCTTCCAGGCTGAGGCATTTTCAATCCTCAAGGCCATGAACTCGGGTGTGGAAAATAGGTGAATGGGAGTTTAAGGGCCGTTTGCACCATGTCTAGTTAATTCTAACTCCCAGTTAAACATCTTTATCGACGTTATCGACACCCATCATATAACATGTGATCGATAAAGCAGTTAACGTGCTTAACTGAAGGATGTACCTCCAGTTAGCGTTAACTAGACATGGTGCAAACGGCCCTAAGTGTCTGCAGTGACAGCCAAGCTACACTTAAGGCTTTGGCCAGCCCTCTAACTACTTCCAACCTAGTTCGGCAATGCAAGCAGTGTTGCCGCGCATAATTTTTAATGGTAGCCAAATTCCTTTAAAAAAAGGGCTAAAAAAAAACTAAAAAAAGTAGTTGTGGCTAAAAATGGTAGCTAAAATTTTTTACTCACATATACATATATAAGTATACACGTAAACTNCTTCCAACCTAGTTCGGCAATGCAAGCAGTGTTGCCGCGCATAATTTTTAATGGTAGCCAAATTCCTTTAAAAAAAGGGCAAAAAAAAAACTAAAAAAAGTAGTTGTGGCTAAAAATGGTAGCTAAAATTTTTTACTCACATATACATATATAAGTATACACGTAAACTTTTTCAATAAGTAATGGTATGTATATGAAAACAATGAACTTTGGAAAAAAAGCTAATATTTTATCCAACCAAAAACCTTTTTGTACAAGCTGCTTGCTGGTTCCATCAAGTGATTGTACCATCAGGCTCGAAGCATATAACTTACCAGCATGCTGGTACAATATCTATTTCTTTACAAATGAGATCGGGGGAAGATCGAACTGATTAGAGTCGAAATTTCATAATTTTTCTAGCATTTTGTTTAACACTGTTTTTTTTTTTGTAATTCACAACTGCAATATCGTGAACGTAATCTTCCACAAATACAGCTTTGACTCATATAGTGCAAGAAATTTCCGCCAAAATACTTTTTACTTAGAAAATTGAGCTAATTTCACCACTAATCACAGAACATACACGGTCAATTGACTTGATGGGTCATTTAACAAATTTATTTTAAACTATAGTTAAATCGTTAACAGCCCCAACACGTTTACAGTATGTATGTATAAAAGCGTAAGGAACATATAATACATATACGTATATATATCAGTCTTTTTTAGTTTAAAAATTCCTCTCTTACATAAATGCAAAAAAAATTAAGCATATACAACTTTTTCATTCCAAGTATGAATCAATTCTAAAAAGGGCTAACAAAAAGGGCTAGGGGCAATTTTAAATTTATGTGGCCAAAAAAGTATGTGGTAGCTAAATCTAGGCAACAAAGGGTTAAAACGGCAACACTGAATGCAAGTCTCGACTAAATTATGTGGGCAAACATAATGAGCTTGCTTTGCTCTGGGTGCCAGGTAAGGTTGCCAGACGTACCCCATTGGAAGGGACATACTCCATTTTGAGTTTTTGTCCCCCTTTCAACGGAAGATTGCGTAGGGCCCCCATTTTCGAACAAAGTCCTTCACTTGCCGCTTAAAGCATGCGTGCATTCCGAAACGTCAAAATAAAAAGCATCAGTCTCTTTTATTTCTAAACCTCTGTAGATTGTTATGTCAAATGTGCGCAATCTTGGTTAGATGCTACTTTTCTACTAGGTTGCGCTAGTTAGACTGTTTCTTCTAGTGCGGAATGCACCCCATGTTTGCATTCTTTAACTTTCACAGGCGATTAGTTGAATCAAAAGTTGAACGAAAAGTACAATTTTTATTTAAAAATATTCTCCTGCCATATTTAAGGCAGAATATGTATACATATATACTAGATCTCTTGTTAATCGACTAACCGATTAATCGGTTAATCGAATGGAAAAAGTTGTTTCAAAAAATAATCGAATACCTTTAATCGATTAACCGCTCTCTTTCGACTAACCGTTCATAATCGACTAGTTGTTTTCATTCGATTACTTGACAGATTCGACTATTCGAATAGTAGTTTTCTTTCAATATTTCATAAGTTTTGCGGTTGATATGCTTTGAATATTTATTGTACCAAAAATGGTGTGGCACCGCATGAATTATGATGGAGATGAATACGTGACTTATAGCAAAATTCAAAGTGCATCCATCACCTTCATAAACTCATGGAATCCAGGCACGAGAAATAGTCTCTTGGCGCTCGTTTGAAATAGTTTCGCCATCTTCGTTTTTTCTTCTACTCTTGAAACTTTTTGCCGGGCTTGGTTCGGCACATTCACTTTGGCTACATCTGTGGTCCTGGGGAGGATAAACTATGGAAAATTACCACTTATTAGTTCGTTAACATAAACATACATTTCCAGATCCTGCTCCTTGTTCCTTTTGCGAATGGCCTTCAAAGGGGTTGCCAAAGACGATGTATAATTATTATAGGCCATATTTTGTCCACATATTGTACACTTGACTTCTTTTCCACCTTCGGAGTTAGAAAAGAAGTTCCACACCCAGCTACGCTTACGTGAACTCATTGGATAAAGCAAATTTTTGGTTTTGAAGTGAGAAAAAATTTGTATTTAAACATTTTTCACTATTCGAATAATGACAGTTAATCAATTGCACGACTAGTCGAAGTGAATGAAACGATCGAATACTTGCTATTCGATTTTCAGTCAATGCAAAAGTTGCTACTCGACTATTCGAATAATCGGTTAACCGGATTATCGACTGTTAACAAGAGCTCTAATATATACATACACCCACGACAAAAGATAGCACATCAATATTTTTGCTAGTTTTGACTGTTTTTCTTTTGCTTTTTTTTAAGGTTCACTAATTTTACATAAAAGTATAGCTCTTTATCTAACAAATACCATATAAATCTAAGTTTCAGACTTTGTACAAATATTATAAAAATTCCCACAAACTTTTCATCTCAGTTCCTAGCATTTTAATTTTAATTTCTAGATTAATTTTTGGTATGCAGTTTTACAGCTTTTAAATTCTTGTATAATGAAGTGCAAGTTTGAAGTTGTTAAAAAATCGTATTGGTTTTTGATATTTTTTTTTTGCTGACGGCGTTATGCACTCCTTTCCATATATAAAATTACTTTGTATGGAAGCAAATGCGTGATACAGCAAAAAAATTAACAAGAAATAATGCGATTTTTGAGCAGTTTCAAACTTCCACTTTACTATACTAGAATTTAATAAGCTATACAACTGCATACCAGAAATTAATCTAGAAATTAAAATTAAAATGCTTGGAACTGGGAGGGAAAATTTGTGGGAATTTTTATAATTTTGGTACAAAGTTGGAGATATTCGCCGATATTCCGATTGTCGGAACGACAGTCGTTCGTCGATATTTGAGATTTTCATTGGCGTTATGAGGCAACAAATGACATAATCTACTACAAATTTGTATTCCTATTATCCTTTCGAAATGAAGAAGTGTTAAAATCTGTCGTTAATGTTTTTATTTACGACATAATTCAACGAACGACTGTCGATGCGAGCGACTTACGACAATCAGAATAGGGGTGATTAGTATGACTAGAGCCTGGTACTTTGAAGCCCGGACGAAATAATTTTATGATTACCAATGATTTTCCCAAGTGTTCGTAAACTGGAAAATTACCGTAACATAGTTAATGCACGGCGAGAGTTTCTTTATCCACATTCCGAACATTAGGAATACATTTTTTTATTCACTTATCCATTAGAACGTTGTTTCCGGATAATATGGGGCTGGATAATCTGAACGCATTCTTTTCATTTCGTCTCTAGTACGAAATTCATAGAATATTGCATGAAAATAATGGAGCTAGAGAAACCAATTAAGTTTTTGCAGAACTCCTTCCAGACTAACCGCACAAAATATCAAGCAAATACTTAGTAAATAACATTTATTGTAATTATTTTTAAGAAGTGCTTATAAAGTTAAACCACGATTGGGAGATCTTATTTTTTCCCACTGAATATCGATATTTCCATTGGATATGCAATATCGCGATACTTCACCCCCTATTCTTTTTGCGTATTTGTACGAATTATATACTTCTGGTCTAATTGAAGAAAAGGTTTCCGGTTGAACGTTATTCACTTTGGCGTCTAGTAGCATAGTTGTTTTTGTTGTCGTTAGGTAATTGTGAAAAGCGCAGCATGCCAATACCGGAAGATCAACCGTGCTTGGTAGCACCTCAATTGGCCTTTGGAATATGTTAAACCGTTTAGCCAGCCTTCCAAACGCACACTCCACGACCACTCGAGCGCGACATAGCCTGTAGTTATAGATCTCTTGCGGCACATTCAACTTTACGTTACGATTAAATGGCTTAATTAACAGCCCAACCAATAGTGTAAAAATAATTTTTTTAATTTTACTTTACTTTTTACTTTTTAAATTTACATAAATACGACTTTAATAAATAAGTTGATAAACTCGATTTTATTTTACATTTATACTCATCAAGAAATAAAATTATAATTAACTTGACATAACGAAGCGAACAGAACTTATTTTGTGTGGAACGTCAATTTTCCTGACACAGCTGTTCTTTATTTACAAAAAAATTTAGTCACGACTGGAAAATTTGTTTTAATAACTAAAATGAATGCAGAAAGAAAACAGGTAAATATATATACATATCTATATGTATATAGGACTGCGCAAAATAATTATTTGCTGCAACTGGTTTGTTTCCT